AAACACATCATTTTGTTAAGCTTCGGAAAGCTGATGTTGAAATTCATTCATTTGGTATTTCTGGAGTTCCAACTAAAGTCCAGACAGGGCTAAGAGATGGGACACACATCTCGACCCTCACAGAGCTTACATTCTAGGGGAGGGAGATAGACAAATATAATAGATCAATGCAGATGAATTATGTCAGGGATGAATACTGAGGAGAAAAAGTAAACTAGGGAAGGGTGGGCACTAATATGTGTGGAGAGTGGGGTTGATAGGGTCATGAGGGAAGGGCCTTTAAGAAAATGACATGTATGTCAGAAGATAGCGTAGGCCATATATGGGGACAATTAGGGAAAGAACATTATACATAGAGGAGGTGGAATCTGCTAGAGGGCATGTCCGGAATGTTCAAGGAACAGCAAGGAGGACTGTGTAGTTTAGGGGAATGGTAAGAAGGGGGAGAGAGGGCCTCCCTGCTGGCGCAAGGGGTTAAGCACAGTGCTGTGAAGCTATCTTCAGCCTCTGCATCACGAGTTCGATCCCCAGCCAGCCAGGGAGCTACCCACATGGCACAGCAGACCTCTCCTGACTCGTCCTCTGCTCCCCTCAGCAGTGTATTTCAGTAGATCTGCCTGTTCTGTTCCCCACTCTGTCTCTGGTGAATCCTCTCACCCCCTGCACCTCTGGCCTGTGCCCCAGCTCTTGTATGCATAAATAATTATATCTTAAAAAAAAAGAAGGGGGAGAGAAGTGGGAGATGATGTCAGAGAGGTGTGGGGGAAGGGGGGGAGCATGTCCTGTAGGACCTCCAGAGTCATTCTTTGAAAAAAACTTTGATTTTGACTTCCACTTGGAGACCCTTGGATGGTTGTGATCTGACTTACATATTAAATAAAAAAAAAATGCTGCATTTGGAGATTAGATCAAAGGGGATGAAGGGCGGAAGCAGATCATGGTGCATCTTTAAAGCACATTTACTATTTTAAATGTAAAACCAGCAGCATTTATGATCAGGTTGAATGTGGGGATTGAGAGGGAAAGGGAAACAAGATGAGTGCTAGAGTGTTGTCGCCCATGCCTCTGGATGGAAGAAGCATCATTACCTGAGATGGGAAGACTGAGGAACAGTCAGGTTTGAGGGTGACTCTCAGGAACTCAAAGACAAAGGATCGGAGGTCTAAGGGTGAGGTCCCTCCTGGACATGCCAATTAGGGATTGTCCACAAACAGATGTTCTTTAAAGTCACGAGACAGGATGACAAAACCAAGAGACAAGGGGCTGGGCCCGAGCTAGTCTGGTGGTTAGAGGTTGAGAAGGGGCCAACCAACGAGGTGGAGAGGGAAGCCTGAGAGGCAGGAGAGATTAGGCAGGAGATCCGGGAGAGGCGTTTCAAGGAGGAAAGAGTGATCCATTGTGTCACGTGCTGCCAGTATGTCAGGTAAGACAAAGCCCGAGAGTTTGCTATTCGATTTAGTGACACACAGATCTGGTCTTTAGAGATCTGGATAAGAATCGTTTCAGTTCTGTCTTCCTTTTGTTCTAAGTATCATTTCAAAGGTATCCACTGCTAGCCCATGTATAAGACTGAAGTATAATGCCTGTTATGGACTAGCCCAGAAAAAAACTAATCACTTCTTTTTTTTTTTCTTTTTTGGACTGAATGTATCTTATAAATAAGACCAATTCTATCTTTTTTTTTTTTTTGCCTGAAATCTTGAAGCATGGAATTATTATAGACTAACCCAGGAAAAACTAATCACGTTACTTTTTTTTTTTTGGACGGATATATCTTATAAATAAGACCAGTTCTGTTATTATTATTATTATTTTTTGCCTAAAATCTTGAAGCATGAAATTATTTGACTGTAGCTGAGGAAAACGTCAAAATCAATGTCACTTAGCAGCAAGCTCCATTTACTTTCGTATAAAGAGCTTCCATTTTTAGAGTAATGTGGTGAGTTAATCATGTTTTAAGCCTGAACAGCTCTTCAAAATTGGAAGGTAGGAGGCGAGAGCAAATACAAATGAGAATGAAAGAAGGTGTTAATGATGTTGAATAGAACAAGAATTTGATAGAGTCTTTATGGCGCAGCCTTCACAAGTGATCCTCAGGCCCCTGCCCCTGGTGGTCTCTCGAGACGCATTTATAAGGTCAGAACTACTTCCATGATAGCATTAAGACTTCCTTTGCTCTTGTCACTGGTCACTTTGCATTGACAGTATGAAAGCAAAGGTGAGTGAAACTGCTGGTGCCAGAGTCCGAATCAACCTTACTAAGACATTGCCACTAAGCTGTGCTGTTGTCATGGTCTCCCTGCCATGACTAAATGAAGAGGAAAAATCTCTTGCACTTGAGGATGTGCTTGATAAAGCCGTGCAAATTATTAACTGTATTAAGTCTCGATTCTCGAGCACATCTTCTTGATATTCACCTCAAGGACTCTGCTGCAGACTGAAGTGTCACGTTTGTATTGAGGAAAGCATTTGGATGACTGAGTAGAGGACTGCATTAGTGGCTTTTTTCATGAAAGATAATTTTTACTTAAAAATAAAAAACAGGGTGTTCCTGGTGGTGCAAGGGGTTAAGGCACAATATATGAAGCAATCCACAGCCTCTGCAGCATAAGTTCAATTCCCAGCCAGCCAGAGAGCAACCCACATGGTGCAGCAGACCTCTCCTGACTCGCCTGCTGCTCCTCTCAGCAGTGTACTTCGGTCAATCTGCCTCTTCTGTTCCCTGCTCTGTCTCTGGTGAATCCTCTCACCGCCCCCCCCTCACCTCTTGCCTATACCCCAGCTCTTGTATGCATAAATAAAAATATTTTGTTTTAAAAAAAGATTTATTTATTTATTTATACAAGCACTGGGTACAGTCAGAAGTGCGGAAGGGTGAGAGAATTCACCAGAGCCAGAGTGGGGAGCAGAGCAGGCAGAAGGACCGAAGTACATTGCTGAGGGGAGCAGCGGGCGGCAGGAGAGGTCTGCTGCGCCATGTGGGACCCTCCCCTGGTGGCCAGAGAGCAGCCGGGGATCGAACTGGCGCTGCAGAGGCTGCGGACAGCTTCGCAACCCAGCGCTCAACCACTGCACCACATCTTTGGCAGATGTTTTCTTGAAAATGAAGTGAGCCTGTCACCTTCAGGAAAACAGCTGACAGTATTTGTTGTGAATCTTAAAATCTGAGTTTTTAGGTGAAAATTAGAAGCTTGGAATGCTTCCATCTCCCCCCCCAAAGCTTCCCAGCTTCCCAATTCTTAAAGACTTGTCTGATAAGATCAGTGGCAACTGTCAAAACATGATTTCTTGACATTGTGCAATGAAATATGTCAACATTGAAATATCTATCTCTATAGCTGAACAAACTAGTACTTCCCAAATGACACATGACGTTACAAAATCATACATGAGTAAAAGATCCACTCAAAGTGCCATGATAGTCTTCTGCTTCTAGCCAAGATAGAGTGACAGGAATGCCTGCTGGCTAATGATGTCAAGAATCTTCCCATGAGGAAATTCTATGGGGACTAAACTGGAGGGGGTGGGGGGAACAAATATTGTTTAAAAATGATCAATGATGTGACCTCCCCGGTGGCATAGCGATTGAGCGCTGGGTTGCGAAGCTGCCCGCAGCCTCTGCAGCGCTGGTTTGATCCCCGGCTGCTCCCCGGCCACCAGAGGAGGGTCCCACATAGCGCGCAGACCTCTCCTGCCTCCCGCTGCTCCCCTCAGCAGTGTGCTTCGGTTCTTCTGCCTGCTCTGCTCCCCGCTCTGGCGCTGGTGAATTCTCTCACCCTCCCGCGCTTCTGACTGTACCCAGTGCTTGTACAAATAAATAAATAAAATAAAATAAAATAAATCTTTAAAAAAATAAAATTGATCAATGATGTAAAAAGAAAATAGCATTAAAAATAAATTTAAAAAAAACATAAAAGAAAGGACAAAGATGATCGTTCAAAAAAAAAAAGGAAAAGAATCTTCCCATGTGCTTATGGGCCAGTTGCATTTCTTCTTTTAAAATACTTCTTTTTTGATAAACACATGCAATTTGCAGCAACATGGATGGCACTGGAAGGGATCATGCTCAGCGAAATAAGCCAAAAAGAAAAAGAAAAATATCGGATGGTCTCACTCATAGCAGGAATCTAGAAAACTTAAATAAGGGACCAGGAAAATGAATATAAGAAAGTGAAAATCAAAATCAACAAAAAACTATGAACCAGAGACACTTTTTGGGGGTTGGGGGGCAGGAGGGGAAGGATTGGGGTCAGAATGGGGCGTTTGCAATTGTATGGGGGAATATAAAAATAAAATTTAATATTTAAAAAAAAATAAATAAAAATAAAATATACTTTGTAAAGCAAAAAAAAAAAAAAATACTTCTTTTTTTTTTTTAAGATTTATTTATTTATGCATACAAGAGCTGGGGTACAGGCCAGAGATGGCGGCGGGGTGAGACGATCCACCAGAGACAGAGTGGGGAACAGAACAGGCAGACTGACTGAAATACACTGCTAAGGGGAGCAGCGGGCTAGACAGGAGAGGTCTGCCTCACCATGTGGTTTTCTCCCTGGCCAGTTGGGTATCGAACTCGTGCTGCAGAGGCTGTGGATTGCTTCATAATGCAGTGCTTAACCCCTTGCATCACCAGGGTGGCCCTGCATTTCTTCTTTAGTGAAATGTCCAGTCAGATCTTTTTACCTATTAAAAAAGAAGGATTACCTGGGTTCTTATTGCTGTTGTTGAACCATGACTTTCTTGTTGGAGGTATTGTGTTAGGCTCTCCAGACTGATGTAACAGGCAGTCTTAATCCAAGACCTACCCAGCTTCAACAGTCATTACAAGACAGACAATACCTAAACTGTTGTAGTAGCATGACCACATCCCTTGGGTGTTTATATTTTCTTGCTTTTGTTCTTTAAACTCAGATATTAAAATTCAGAGGACCCACTGAGGATCCACTTCCTCAGTCTTCTTGTCAGATAATCTCTAACCTACTGCTGCCTTTGCCTTGCAGCTTCCTGGTGATGATATGGCATCTGCCAGCTCCAGCCGGGCAGGAGTGGCCCTGCCCTTTGAGAAGTCTCAGCTTACTTTGAAAGGTGAGTGGCACTGGGTAAAGTGTTTATTATTTGAGGAGACAAGGTGGAATTATACCACACCTTAGACTGGAGAGTCACTTTTTTTTTTTTTAAAGACATATTTATTTATACAAGCACTGGGTACAGTCAGAAGCGTGGGAGGGTGAGAGAACTCACCAGAGCCAGAGCGGGGAACAGAACAGGCAGACTGACGAAGTACACTGCTGAGGGGAGCAGCGGGTGCGGAAGGAGAGGTCTGCGCACCATGTGGGACCCTCGCTGGTGGCCGGGGATCGAACCGGCGCTGCAGAGGCTGCGGGCAGCTTCGCAGCCCAGCGCTCAATCGCTGCGCCACCGGGGAGGCCCGGAGTGTCACATTTTTGAAATAACTTAAGAGTAAACCTTTGCCAGATGATAGCTGGGATTCTCAAAGAAGGAAGAAAGGAACTTTTGGCAAAAACTGTCTAAAATGTTGATTACTTCATACCCCAGGCTTATTCCTTTGTACCCTCACTCCCTAGGTGATATTCCACCGCATGGCTTTAAATGCCACCAAGAGAAGTTCACTGCCACATTTGTATCTCTAGCCTAATTTCTGAACTGTAGATTTGTAGTCTGGTAATCCAGTTGCCATTGCCACTTGAATATTTAGTAAACTTCTAAAATGTAATGTGTCTGGATTGAATTCCTAATTTTTCTTTCTCATATCCTTATATGCAGCCAGTCAGCAAATCTTGTTTATCTGCAAATGTGCCCAGCTGTTAGCCACTTGGCACACCTCCATTGTCTACACGCTGCCACCTACCTACCCTGGATTAAGGCAATAGTCTCCTAACCCAGCTCCCTGCTTTTACCCTTCGCCCTCCTTCCTTTTCTGGGTCACTCAGCAGTCAGTGGCCCTGTTAGAATGGAAGCTAGCTATTGTCACTCCTGTACTCAAACACATCAAGGCTCTCCATCTCACTCAGGAGAAAAGTTGAAGCTCCCATATGGTATGACCCCCTCATTTCCCATCTCCTGTTAGTTACTCTTCCACATTTACTCTGCTCCAGTCACATGTTGTTCATGGACTGCTATCTCTGGGTGAAATATTTTGGGCCCAGATATCTACCTGATTTGCTTTCTTTCCTTTCTTAAGTTTGTTATTTAAAAGTCACCCCCTTCACACTGTGCAGAGCAATTGAAAGCATCTGTTTCTGGGTTTGGGGGTTCTTTAGACCTTGACTATAGCCATGAAAGAATTCAATGCCATGTTTAGGCAAAGCAAAGCAAAGTTGGGAGTACGTCCAGGCAGGCAAAGTTCAGGGAAGAACAACTGCCAGGAAAGGTGGGGGACTGCTGGCTTAAATGGGGTGCAGGAAGCTGTTTACTTTGTCCCTTCCTGGGGTGTATGGTAGAGGTGCTCCTGGGTGTTGGTTTATCAGCTGGGCAGGAGTTTCTAAGTCACTCCCCCCTGCCCCCTTATATTGTGCTTGGGACTACAGCTTTTACTCTCTTATCTAATAATTAGCAAGCCTGAGTTGAAATAGAAGCCCTTCCATGGAACCCGGTGCCATCCTGAGACTCTGTTTTGGGTTTTTATTATGTAGGAGCACATATTGACTTACAGATTTTCTGTTGCTTTTCCTCATTGTGAATTGCTAATATGGAAAGGACTAACATGGTAATACTGGTGCTTCTCATTATGTATGCCTTTAACCTCTAGGGATCCAAAAATAACATCCAGGAATGTGGTGGGGGAGAAAGAGAGCAATGACAGTTTAAATAGTGTGGGTGGTTCTTCCGTGTGTTTCATGAGAAAGTTATATTGTGATCTGGGAGAGGTCACTGTGCTCTTCCCTGTCTGAGCTTCAGTTCCCTATTCTTCTCCTTAGTGTCATCCTGGAGTTCTAAGATATATTTTTATTTTTTTAATTTTTATTTTATTATTTTTTAAGGATTTATTTATTTATGCATACAAGAACTAGGGTACAGACCAGAGGTGTGGGGGATGAGAGGATTCACCAGAGACAGAGTGGGGAACAGAACAGGCAGACTGACTGAAGTACACTGTTGAGGGGAGCAGCGGATGAGTCAGGAGAGGTCTGCTGCACCATGTGGGTAGCTCCCTGGCCGGGATGGAACTTGTGCTACAGTGGTTTCCATGAGCCCCACAGGTTGTGTCTTAACCCCTTGAGCCACCAAGGAGGCCCTCTAAGATATATTTTTAAATGTGTTGTCATGGGTTCTAAACATAAACCAACTATTTTGTCTGATATTTAACTCAGAAACACTGAAAAACTGACCCCTGAAAGACACAGCACAGCATAAAACTGGAACCTAGGGAAAGTCAATATGTAGATTTCCTGGTGCCTCCCCAAGAACTTACAAGGGCATGTTTCTGACCATCTGTGATTTTCGCCTTGTTTTTAACTTTAATGTCTAAATCCTATGTGAAGATGTTACTCCACATTTAAGAAGTTATCCTTCAGGGCCTCCCTGGTGGTCTAGTGGTTAAGTCTTAATGCTATCACTGCTACAGCCTGACTTCAATCCCCAGCCAGGGAGTTGCCCACATGTGGCGCAGCAGACCTCTCCTGCCTCGCCCCTGCTCCCCTTAGCAGTGTATTTCAGTAGATCTGCCTGTTCTGCTCCCCACTCTGTCTCTGGTGAATCCTCTCACCCCCTACACCTCTGGCCTACACCCCAGTTCTTCTATGCTACAAAAAAGAAAAAAAATTATCGTTTATATTTCATCAAACAATAAATTGACTTTGTAGAGAAAGTCACTTGTATCTTGAAGCCTTTATTTTGGCTGCCTTTTTAAAAAAAGCAACATTCAAAATGTCACCCTGATTAATCATAAATTACAGAAGGGAAAATGTATCTTTATAGTGGAGAGACCTGGTAAACCCCACAGTCACCGAGGGATTGAAGTGGGCATCCCCAATAGGACAGCCTGCTGTGTAAAGCGAGAATCAGACAACATCATCTATGTTGTATTCTGGACAGAAATGTTAAACATGAATCTAATCATCAGGGAACAATCAGGAAAATGCAGAACTTGGCGCATCCTATAAGGCAGCTGGTAGAAGTCTTTAAAAATCATTGTCATCGAAGAAGGGAGAGCATTCTAGATTTTAAAAGGTTAAGGAAACAACAACCAAATGCAATATCTTCATCTTGACTGGATCCTAGATTGGGGGAAAACAGCTATAATAATAACCTTGCAACAGTTGGGGAAATTCAAAGATGGAATGGATAGCAAATGACAGAGGGTGTACGTTGTTTAAGGTATCACAATGGTGGTGTCGTTAGGTGAGAGAATGTCCTTATTCTTAGGAGTCGCATTCTGAAAGTATTGGGTTGTCAGAAAAGTCATGACGTGTTTTTTCTTTGAAAAACAGAAAAAAATGCATCGTGACTTTTCTGACAACCCAATATTTGAGCCCAATTTGTCTTCATGTCTGCAACTCCCTTTTAAATGACATACAAAAAAAAAAAAAGAAAGAAAAAGTGTGGGTATATAGTCACTAATGATGGGGATACATTCTGAGAATGTGTTGTTAGACAATTTGGTAGTTGTGCTGATGCAAACCTAGATGGCACAGCCTGCCTGCACACCTAGGGTGTTATCGGGACCACAGTCACAGATGCAGTTCTCCACCTACTGAAAAGTTATGCAGTGTGTGACTATGTGTGTCATACCTATAGCCTGTGCTGTCCAATAGGGTAAAATCAATTAAACTCTCAAGTTCAAATTCTTAGTTGTTCCAGCCACATTTCAGTTGCTCCATAGCCACATGTAGCTGGTGGTGATGTGCCAGACAGCCAGTGTAGAACATATTCACTGTCACAGAAACTCTTTTTTTTTTTTTTAAAGATTTATTTATTTATGCATACAAGAACTGGGGTACAGGCCAGAGGTGCAGGGGATGAGAGGATTCACCGGAGACAGAGTGGGGAACAGAACAGGCAGATTGACCAAAGTACACTGCTGAGGGGAGCAGCGGGCGAGTCAGGAGAGGTCTGCTGCACCATTTCGGTTGCTCCCTGGCTAGCCGGGAATCGAACTCGTGGTGCAATGGCCGTGGATAGCTTCATAGGTTGCGACTTAACCCCTTGCGCCACCAGGGAGGCCCCTCCCTGGGTTTTGATAGGCTCATTTGTTAAATAAAGGATTTGAACTGATAGATTTCAAAGTAATTGTCTAACTTAGAAGGCTAGAACTCTTAGTCCCTACCTAAGTTGTTTTAAAGAGCCTGTATGCTGAGCTCCCCTTACACCACCAGGTGGCCTCAGTTCACCTCGACCCATGTGTAAAAGATTGCTGTTTTCTACTTTGGGCCACATTTCCCAGAACCGTGACCCTTTTTCCTAGTGTTATCCCTTCTTGCTGTTGACATAAATTTCATTGTTGTTGTTCTTTGACTTTATCCCTACTGTTCTTTTAGGCTTGGAGAAGACAGGTATTGCTTAAATCAATCCAGAGGTGGGTTTGCCCTCTGTCAAGTTGTGGACCCAACAGATCATCTCTCACAAGGGTCTGGGAGGGAGAGGTTTGCTAACTTTTTTTTTTTAAGCCTTTGTCTTTTTTATTTTTTTTTTAAAGATTTATTTATTTATGCATACAAGAATTGGGGTCCAGGCCAGAGGTGTGGGGACTGAGAGGATTCACCAGAGACAGGATGGGGAACAGAACAGTCAGATTGACTGAAATATACTGCTGAGGGAGCAGAGGACGAGTCAGGAGAGGTCTTCTGCCCCATGTGGCTTGCTCCCTAGCCGGGGATTGAACTTATGCTGCAGTGGCTGTGGATAGCTTCATAGGTTGCATCTTAGCCCTTTGTGCCACCAGGGAAGCTCCGGTTTGCTAACTCTTTTTTTTTTTTTTTTTTTCAAAGATTTATTTATTTTTATTTATTTTATTTTTTTTATAAGCATATACTTATTTTTTTAATCTTTTATTTTTTTATAGAGGCATGTTTTATTTATTTATTTGTTTGTTTGTTTTTGTTTATACATGCACTGGGCATAGTCAGAAGCGCGGGAGGGTGAGAGAATCCACCAGAGCCAGAGCGGGGAGCAGAGCAGGTAGAAGGACCGAAGTACACTGCTGAGGGGAGCAGCGGGCGGCAGGAGAGTTCTGCGCGCCATCAAAGATTTATTTATTTTTATACAAGAACCAGGGTACAGGCCAGATGCGCGGGAGGGTGAGAAGACCCACCAGAGACAGGGTGGGGAACACAACAGGCACACTGACGAAACACACTGCTGAGGGGAGCAGCGGGCGAGACAGGAAAGGTCTGTTTCGCCATGTGGGATTCTTGCCAGCTGGCCGGGATCGAACCCGCACTGCAGAGGCTGCGGACAGCTTCACAGTGCAGTGTCCAACTGCCTGCGCCACCAGGGAGGACCCGGTTTGCTAACTCTTAACCAAGGTGTTTATGTGTAGACATCAGAGGCGAGGAGTGTCAGTCATATGCTCTGATTTGGGCCAGAGGACCAAAGACATCTAGATGTGTGTGAGCTTAGTAACCTGGAGTTTCCACCCTGGCTAACGTATCTGTAAGAGATGCTTGCATAGCATGGACATACATACTTGCTTAGTGTGTGCTCTGTGAGTCCCTGGCTTGCTGGTGCCAAATGAACATAAGGGATGCTGCCACATGAAGAATACAAATGGAAGAGGAAATGCAGATGCCTAATGAGCACGTGGCAAAAATACTCAACCTCATTAGTCATTGAAGAAAAACAAAAGAACAGAGAAGCAAAGTCCAGTAATGACATTGAGCATGGTATGGGAGTTAGGCTGCTTGCTGTAAGCCTGGACTCAGAGCCACCTGACTGCGTAGCATTGGGCAATGACCTGGCTTCCCCCTCCTAGGTAAAATAGGAGTGAGGACATATTCTCTGCCTCCCTGGTTTGTTGTCAGGATTCAGTTAGATAAGGTGATATAGGTGTAAGGAGTGCTCATGAAATCTTAGTCATGGTCTTTGTATTGTTAATACTTTTTAAAAAAACCTATATGAGGGCCTCCCTGGTGGCGTGTGGGGTTGAGTCTCAGCACTATGATGCAGTCTGCAGCCACTGCAGCATGAGATCGATCCCTGGACAGGGAGCTGCCCACATGGTGCAGCAGACCTCTCCTGTCTCACCCGCTGCTCCCCTCAGCAGTGTGTTTCAGTCTGCCTGCCTGTTCTGCTGAATTCTGGTGAATCCTCTCACCCCCCCGGACCTCTGGCCTGTACCCCAGCTCATGTAGGCATAAATAAATAAAAATCTTCAAAAATAAACCAGTACTTTTAAAAAACCTATACGAAATGCAAAAGTTGAAAAAACAAAGTACTCAGTGCTATCAGTGTTTGGTTAAATGGATGTATTCCTATGGTGGTGAAGAGCGTCGACATCTATATGGGTTTACCTGTTTTGGAAAGGAATTAAGCAGTTTTAAGGACTTTAACAAGTGTTCTTATCCTTTGGAAAAGTACTCAGAAATGCATGTTAGTATATATATTTGTGGTAATTTTCCTGGAGCAAAAAGTTGGAAGCAATCTGTTCACCAATGAAAGAATTGTTAGCCAAATGATGGCACAGCCACACAGAGATAACATGGCAGCCATTTAAAAGAAATTGGGGAGCAGGGGGAAGATTTTGTAAAGAATCAGGGACATAAATGATGACAATCTAGCAAGTCTGGATTTACCACTATCTTAATTATTCTAGAGTTTTTAGATTAGAAGTGATTTTCCTTTCTTATGCTTTCAATTTTTTTCTCAGTACCTCGCATTTTTAAATAAGGGTTTTTTTTTTTTTAAGAATCAGGAAAAATTGTGTTTTTTTAAAGAAACAACAAAAAAGTTGGAAAGTCTGCCACAGGGGGGCATCTGGGAGCCCTCTCGCTCACTTGGATTTTCTCTTTCTTCTGGCCAGTGGTGTCAGCAAAACCCAAGGTGCATAACCGTCAACCCCGCATTAACTCGTTTGTGGAAGTGGCAGTGGATGGACTCCCCAGTGAGACCAAGAAGACCGGGAAGCGAATTGGCAGCTCTGAGCTTCTCTGGAATGAGATCATCATTTTGTAAGCACAAACCCCTTCTATTTGAATGAAGTTAACGGGGAAAGAGCATGCACTTGAAGGCAGTGCAGGAGAGCCAGGCTTTCTGCAAGGCCTCTACTGCCTCTCTGCCTCTGGTGCCTTAGGTGCCTCTCTCCAGGTGTTTCTCCATCACTGAGCTCACAGAGCCTTCATTATTAGCTAGATGGTTATGGGGTCAGTTATGGGGGAAGGGGCCTATGAGTATCTTCCTGTTTGAGTCCTCGCCTTCTGCTCCCCAAGATGTCGGCGGTATAGTTTATCTGTCTTCTAAGTTAGAGGAGTGATTGGTCTGCTCAGTGTGATAACTTAAGTTTTGTTTTCCAGGAATGTCACGGCCCAGAGTCATTTAGATTTGAAGGTCTGGAGCTGCCATACCTTGAGAAATGAACTACTAGGCACTGCCTCTGTCAACCTCTCCAATGTCCTAAAGAACAATGGGGGCAAAAGTACGTATGACATCTGATGGTGGGTGGCTGACGGATGTGGTTATTTTTTGGTGGTGGGAGGAGAAGAATTTGAAGGTGTGAATTTCTCACACCACATGGATAAACCTGCTGATGCCATTTCCTCCAGGGCCAGGGTCTCAGGGACCTGTTGTATTTAGGGGTGGTCCTCCCGCCTTCATTGTGGGGTTTAGTGGAATGGTGGCTGTGTCCCGTGGAGCTTTCCTCAGGGATGAATGCTCTCCCTCTGCCCCCGTTTATCTGATCCCAGAGACCTGTGGCATGTAGAATCAAACTGCAGTGCCTCCAGCTTAAGTCACTGCTCTCCTAGTCTGAGGCCTTGGATGAACAAAGCTCTGTGTGTGCGTGTGTGTGTTTGGTATGTGTTACAAATAGTAGCCTATGCTTAGTAGGCACTCAATAAACATTTAGTGAATGTTAGTTGGATGATGGAAGTGCTTAATTATTCAGGCAGCCTCTGCCGCATGGAACTCTAAACCCAAACGTCTGTTCATTGCTGTTTGTGGTCAGTGGCATAACCCATGGCTATGGTCTCTGGACCCTCCCTCATAAAGCCTCAATTCAGAGCAGCACCATATGTGGCTAGGGAAGGCCACAGAAAGAAAGGGTCCTTTTTCTCTTGAGGTCTGCTGTCTAGAAAACATTTTGTGAAAGTGGATTTAGCGGAGAAGAGTGGGGGTGGGGAGTATTGCATTCCAGGGAGAGTGCCCCATAGACTCCCGAGCCCCTTTTATCTGAGCTCATCCTTTCTGACCTACTTGCCTGGTCTTTTCTTTGGGGAACTTGTGCTTGTCTCAGGAATTGTTTAAAAACAGGGATATGCCCCTATTTTCATTCTATCTTCTGCATCAGTCTGTATTTTCCCAAACTCTAGCCTGCCTTTTTTTATTTTATTATCAAGGAGGTTTATGCTTATTACATTATTTGGAAATGTGCTTGTGGGCATTTTTACATCAGAATCAGCAGCCAACGCGAGTGTCCCTTTCTTCTTCATTGGTCCAGGCTCTGGTTGTGGGTGTGGTGAGGTCCCATACATGTCCCATGTGCAGGTGGGGGCCTATACCCCTGCATCGTGTACTGTGTTGTCAACCAATGTTAGCTCAAAACAAAAAGTAATTGTAGAAAAACTGGAAATGACCCCAAAGCACACACTCAAAAAATAAATCCTCCTGTAAGAATGACACATAGTGACAATTAGCATCGTTTTCACATATGCCCTTTTGAGTTTTTAAAATATATTTATATTTATTAGCTTATTTGTTTTTTATTAAATTGTAATTACATATTAGGTTTACATAAATGTAACTTGTCTAATATATTAATATATACTAATGTGTTCAAATGTACGATAGTATAACATTAATACATATTTAAGACCTAAGTGAAACAAAATTGAGATCATATATAAACATATTTTGCAACATGCTTTTTTCCTCTTTAAAATGTGTTTTCTCTTTAAAATGTTACTTTTTTTTTTTTTTTTTTTTTTTAATAGAGGCATGCTTTATTTATTTATTTGTTTTGTTTGTTTGTTTTTTTTGTTTATACATGCACTGGGTACAGTCAGAAGCGCGGGAGGGTGAGAGAATTCACCAGAGCCAGAGCGGGGAGCAGAGCAGGCAGAAGGACTGAAGTACACTGCTGAGGGGAGCAGCGGGCTGCAGGAGAGGTCTGCGCGCCATGTGGGACCCTCCTCCGGTGGCTGGGGAGCAGCCGGGGATCGAACCGGCGCCTCGGGCGCGGGCAGCTTCGCAACCCAGCGCTCAACCGCTGTGCCACCGGGGAGGCCCCAAAATGTTACTTTTTTTTTTTTTTTTTAAATGATTTATTTATTTATGCATACAAAAGCTGAGGTACAGGCCAGAGGTGCAGGGGGTGAGAGGATTCACCAGAGACAGAGTGGGGAACAGAATAGGCGGATCTACTGAAATACACTGCTAAGGGGAGCAGTGGGTAAGATGAGAGGGTAGGTAGACAGTATGTGTGCCATGTGGGTAGCTCCTTGGTCAGGTATCAAACTCGTGCTGCAGTAGTTGCAGATAGCTTCATAGTGCTATGCTTAGCCCCTTGTGCCACCAGGGAGGCCCCACTTTTTTGTTTTAAATTGTGATAAAATACACAATTTGCCTTTGCAGCCATTTTGAAGTGCTCTGTTCAGTGTTGTTAAGTGCATTGTGCCTGTCTTATTTCACTCCCCATAATGGCCTTATTGCTCATTCCAGTTGTAGCATATATCAGAATCCTCTTTTTAAAGGCTAACTATATTCCATACATGGATATATTCCACATTTTGTTTGTCCTTTCATCCATCCAAGGATACTTGGTTTGCTTCTACTGTTTGTCTTTGTGACCAAAGCTGTTATGAACATGGGTGTACACATCCTCTTCAAGTCCCTGCTTTCCGTTCTCTTGGGTGTATACCCAAAAATAGATTTGCTGGATCATGTGGTAATTTTATTTTTAATTTTTTGACAAATTGCCATTTTGTTTTCCATAGCTGCTGTACCAGGAAACATCAACCTGGCTTTGATTTTTCTTCTAAATACTCAGTTTTTGATGATTGCTGGTTGTAGCATTGTAGATGGCTGCATTAAAATTTAAGTTTGAGGCCTGCCGGGTGGCGCAGTGGGTTGAGCGCCACGCTGTGAAACTGTCCGCAGCCTCCGTAGCACGGGTTCAATTCCCGGCCAGCCAGGAAGAAACCCACATGGTGCGGTAGACCTCTCCTGTCGTGCCCACTGCTCCCCTCACAGTGTCTTTGGTCCGTCTGCCTGTTCTGCTCCCTGCTCTGTATCTGGTGAATTCTCTCAGACTCCCCTGCCTCTGACCTGTATCCCAGTTCTTGTATAAATAAATAAATCTTAGGGTCTCCCCTGGTGGCGCAGTGGTTGAGCACTGGGCTGCAAAGCTGCCCGCAGCCTTTGCAGCGCCAGTTTGATCCCCGGCACCGGTGAGAGTCCCACGTGGCATGACAGACCTCTGCTGCCTCGCCCGCTGCTCCCCTCAGCAGTGTATTTCATCAGTCTGCCTGTTCTGTTCCCGCTGTGGCTCTGGTGCATTCTCTCACCCTCCTGTGCTTCTGACTGTACCCAGTGCTTGTATAAATAAATAAACAAAATCTTTAAAAAAAAAAATCTTTAAAAAAATTTAAGTTTGAACACTTGGGTAGTTTTTCAGGATTTCACAGTAACAGATAATGCTATGATAATCTTGTAGGTTTCTAAGTCTTTGTGCCCATTGTTCAAAATTTTCTTGCAATAAATATATTGAGTATGAACTTACTGAGTTTAAAGATTCTCCAAATTTTTCAACACCCTTAAGAAAATTTCTCCCAATTTACCCTTCCATTAGCATAGGACAAGTTAGTTGATGTCTATCACACTTTGGTGTTTATTAGATTTATTTCTTAAAAAATATATATTATGTCTGAATAAGTTTATTACTTACTTGATTATTAGAAACATGCAAGATTTACTTTATCAATTTCTTTTTTGGCTATAGTATTTTAAGGTAAATCACAGATATCTCAACACTTTCTTCTAGATTCTGCAGCATGCCTTTCATTAAAAAAAAAAAGAACATTATTTTACATAATTATCGTGCTGTTATCATACCTAACAATATTTAGCATGAATTCCTTATCATCACCTGATGCCTAGTTAGTATTCAGTGTCACCATGTTTCTAAACACGTGTTATTGGCCCTCTCTGGTGGCCCAGGGGTTAAAGACACAGCACTATCAAGCTGTCAGCAACCTCTATAGCATGAGTTCAATCCCCAGCCAGGGAGCTGACCCACATGGCACAGCAGACCTCTCCCGACTTGCCCACCACTCTCCTCAGCAGTGTATTTCAGTAGAGCCGCCTGTTCTGTTCCTCACTCTGTCTAGTGAATCCTCTCACCTCCTGTACCTCTGGCCTACACCCCAGTTCTTGCATGCATAAATAAATAAATCTTTAAAAAAAAAATAAACAAGCACATGTTGATTTACAGTTGGCTTACTTGACTCTGAATTTGGGCAAGGCCTAGTAATTCCATTTGTTTGTCCATTTCTGAAGTCCCCCCACCTCCCACTTTTTTAAAGCTTTGATGTGATTTACTAAAGCACAGTGAATGTTTTTAAGGTGTGTTTATTACCTTACTCATGTCCTCTGCTCGTTTCTATATTGAAGTGTGCATTTTTTCTCTCTTGGTTTTGAAAGAGCTCTTTATATGTTAAGAATATTACTCTTTGTCTCATAATTTATATTTTTTTTTAGCTTTTCATTTGCCCATCATTTTTTTCCTTTTTTACTCCCAAACAAATCTTTTCAACTTTATGTAGTCCAATCTGTCATCCATTATATTTTCAGCCTTTTCTTTTATGCTTCGAAACAACACTTTCTCCATTCTGAGATCAGGTAGTCACCTCCATTTTTTCCCTTAGTTTATTGTGATTTATTTTTCACATTTAATTCTTCACTCAAGCAGACTTATTTTTGTGTATAGTGTATGTAGGGATTTAATACTCTTTTCCCAAAATAGTTAACTGACAGCTTTAGCATTACATTTATTTATTTTATTTATTTATTTTTTGTTATCTGCTTCATATTCCTATTGCCTCATAGCTAAGCCTTATTATATTAGAATATTGATATAGAGGGGACAGTATAGAAGAAATTTTTTTAAAAGATTTATTTATTTTTGTATACAAGAGCTGGGGTACAGGCCAGAGGTGCAGGGGGTGAGAGGATTCACCAGAGACAGTGGGGAACAGAACAGGCAGATTGACCAAAGTACACTGCTAAGGGGAGCAGCTGGGTGAGTCAGAAGAGGTCTGCTGCGCCATGTGGGTTGCTCCCTGGCCTGTCGGGGATCGAACTCGTGCTGCAGAGGCTGCAGAATGCTTCAAGTGTGGTGCTTACCCCCTTGCGCCAGCAGGGAGGCCTGGAAGAAAATTTAAAACACAGTATAATGTGAGGGAAAGGGATTTTAAGAAATGA